TAATAAATGGTCTTTACCAACTCTAAAACAACAATGCCATGACTGTATGTGGTTCCATCTATACAACCAAAGCAAGATTGTTTACTATCATTTATATAAAGTACTTGAATTATGCTTCAAAACTATGGTCAAAATATAGTGTCCCAAAAGTCTTAGAGCAATTTCAAGCTATTACTAAAGCCTAAAACTACACTAAGATTTTAGGGATAGCCTATTCTTCCTGGATACATTACGTGATTGTTGCAGGTGCTACTTCCACTGATGCATGTCACAACCCTTCCACAACTTGGTAGGTTGCCTTTGAGAGTTGCTAGAAAGATGAATTGTGGCCAAGTTGTGAAGGGTCATATTTTATCCTAGAGGCAATAGAGAACTGCTGAGTTTCATTGAGTAGGGGAATGACATGGTCATATCTGCACTTAAGGAAAATCACTTTGGCAACTTTATGGAGGATGGATTGGAGTAAAGAGGGACTTTAGGCAGGTAAATGAATTAGAAGGCCATTGCAATAGTCCAGGCAAGAGGTAATAAGGGTTGTGGGGACTAAATAGTGAGAAGGGGTCAGATATGAGATGTGCAAGTGAAACAGCAATATTTGACATATGGGAGAAAGAAAAGCGAGGAGTCAACGACAAACCCGCCTTTGAGAACCTGTGAGATTAGAAGCTAGTACCCTAAACAGTAATGGAGGAATTTTATAAAGGATTAGATTTACGAAAAAGATAATGAGTTATTGGACTCCTGTTGTGTTTGAGGCCGTACGGTTTGAATATCTAATAGGTAAGTGGAGATACAGAGCTCAGGAAATAGACTGGGACAGACATATAGAGATCTGAGTCATTTGCATAGAGATAATAAACCCACTGGAGTCCCTGAGGTCACTAAAAGTATATAGAAAGAAGGCCTAAGACAGAGCTTTGGAGGTATAACCAGTTAGGGAGATCATATAAATGATGATCCAGCAAAGGAGAATGAGGAGTGGTCAGATAGGAAAATCAAGAGAATCACGAAAACCCAGAGTGGTTGACAGTGGCAAATTGTGGTGGAGGGCAGGAAGAATGAAGACAGAAAAGTGCATCAGATTTGTTTGTTTTTTCTTTTAAGTAGCCATATCTACTTGTTGAAATATGCAGAATATATAAAATTGTGCAACATGGTCCAGTTGATAGAACAATGCTCCTGGGAAACACAAAACCTGGATTCACATCCTAACTCTTATTCATTCAGACTCAACTTTAGTTTCTCATTTATAAAATGACGATAAAAATACTAGTATTCTCCACCACACAGGGCTTTTGTGAGGAAAGTGTTGTTAAGTGGAATTTCATTTCTAACAATCTGATATTCTCTAGAATTCTTCAAGCCTCAAAAGTAATTTCCTTATCAGGACACCTGATGAATTGTGTAGCTGGCTGATACTTCAGGGTAGGGAGTACTGATATTTGGATTTTTTTCCCCTCCCTCATTCTTCAAGACAGAGAAGAACTGCTGCTCACTTTTAAAGGGACATTTTCTGCCCGCTGTCTTAACTTTAATCTTTCTCGCGTTACTAAACTAACCTTCTAGACCCCATATACTTTTACACCCCACTATAGCTTTAGAGCCTAAGCAGCACAGATATCCAGGTAAATTTTAAAATAACTTTTCACAACCTGCTTGCTATTTATCTTAATGGTCTTATGCTATCCCTCTTAGTATTGGTGATATATTGACATTATACCCAAAAATCTGATACTGTTTCTTCTAATGGGATAGTGTAGCAGAGTAGAAAAAGCTCAAGGTCTTGGGGTTGAAGATCTGTGTTCTAATGTGTCTCTGCCACTTAATACCAGTGTGATTGTGAGCAGGTCACAACCTTTTTGGACTCAATTTCCTCATCTACAAAAGGAGGAACTTGGACTATATGATTTCCTAGGGCCCTTCACAATTTTAAATCTATGATCCTCACCTGTAAGCAGGTGATAATGCACAGCTGCTGTAAATTATTTTAATTTTTTGTTACATTTTGAGTTCTGAACTGTCTCCCTCCCACTCCCCCACTCCCCCACTCCGCACTAGAGCAGGCCACTATATGATGCACATTTATAAATATATGTAAAACTATACTATGCATATTTCTATTTATCAGTGCTTTCTCTGGAGTTGTATAGGATCTTCCTTCCTAGGTCCTTTACAGTTGATTTGAATATTTATAATACTCAGAATAACTTGGGTGTTCACAATTATTCTTCAAACAATTTTGCTGTTACTGTATACAATGTTCTCTTGGTTCTGCTCACTTCACATTTCATTTATTTCATTATTTCACGTGTTTCTTTCCATGAATCTTCAAGTCTTTCCATGTATTTTCTAAAATCAACCAGCTCATTATTTCTTTTTTTTTGTGAGACAATCGGGGTTAAGTGACTTGTCCAGGGTCACACAACTAGTAAGTGTCAAGTGTCTGAGGCCGGATTTGAACTCAGGTCCTCCTGATTCCAAGGCCGGCGCTCTATCTACTGCAACACCTAGCCGCCCCTAGCTCATTATTTCTTACCGTGCAGCAGTATTCCATTACGATCATGTAGCACAACTTGTTTAGCCATTCCTCAATTGATGGGTATTCCCTCAGTTTCCATGCTATAAACATCAAATGAGAATTTCAAACTACTTTGTGTCAGCTACTAATGCCACTGGATTAAAAAAATCAAATGTTAACAGCTGACGGGTGATCTAACTAAAACAAACTTATTTCAGTCTGATTGTTGGTAGATGACAAGAGTCTCAGATAAAGTACTGAGATACAGATCAAAGCTTCCATACTCATGGCTTGAAGTGGCCTGTTTCACAACTAAAGGGGACTTTTTCAGGTCAAAAACATCTTTTTGGCCTTTACACCTTCTATCCCACATCTCCAACACAGACACACACACAAACTTCAAAAGTATCCCCAAACAGGAGATGGTATTTTTTATATACCAAATGGAAGTCCCTTAATCCTGATGAACTAGGATTTTTAGAAATGTCTTTTATGAGAAACAGGTACTAAGTCAATATATCCTTATGATACAAAGCCTGCTCCATTTTCCCCAAGCATAAATGTCTTTAAATAGCTATGTCCTTGAAAAGTTAGTACAAACTAATTTTTTTTTTTTTTGCTTTTTAGTGAGGCAATCAGGATTAAGTGACTTGCCCAAGGTCACACAGCTAGTGTCATGTGTCTGAGTCCGGATTTGAACTCAGATCCTCCTGACTCTAAGGCCAGAGCTCTATCCACTGTGCCACCTAGTTGCACCCAAACTAATTTTTAAAAATAAAATTATTTTAAATGCAGTAGAGGGGCTGGATGTTTAAAGGAATCCTAAGGTGAATCCTTATGTAATGTAAAAAAATGCCTCATCCCACAAATGTTTTAAATTCAGATTTGTATGCATTGTGTTTTAAGTGTGGGACACTACTTTCTGTAGTACAGAATGAGGTCTGCTGACATTGATGATCCATTGGTACAATTGTTACCTCCCATAAAGGAGACTGGTTCAATTTCTAGATGATGAAAAAAAAAATCAAATATGGAGTCTCAATTACTGATTTCAACATAAGCTTTCCTAAGGCTACCTGTCCATAGGTTCATTTGGACAGAACTGGAGAAAGGGAAAATTGGTGGCCTCATAAAATTGTTTGAACTTTCTATACCTCAGTTTCCTTGTTTACAAACTGGGATAGTTTTTCTATGCCCAAAGGGTTACAAAACTATGCTTATCCTTTGATCCAGTAGACCCACTACTAGGTCTAGTATCCCAAAGAGATCAAAGAAAAAGGAAAAGAACCTACATGTACAGAAATATTTACAGCAACTCTTTTTGTGGTGGCAAAGAATTGGAAATTGTGGGGATGCCTATTAATTGGGGAAGTGTTAAACAAGTTGTGGCATATGATTGTAATAAAACACTACTGTGCTACAAGAAATGACGAATGGTTTCAGAAAAACCTAGAGAGACTTATATGAACTGATGCAAGGGATGTGAGCAGAACCAGGAGAACACTGTATACACAGTAAAAGCAATATTTTAATGATAATCAACTGTAAAAGACTTAGCTGTTCTGATCAATACAATGATCCATGACAATTTCAAAGGATTCATGATGAAAAATGCTATCCATCTCTAAAGAGAAAACTGATGAATTCTGAGTGAAGACTGAAGCATACTTTTATCACTTTATTTTTCGTGCTTTTTCTTGTTTGCAACATGGCTAATATGGAAATATATTTTGCATAACTTTACATGTATAACAGACATTTTGCTTGCCTTCTCAATGGATAAGGGAGCAGTGAAAGAGAGGTTGAGAATTTGGAACTCAAAATAAATGAACGTTAAAAAAAATAAACATAATTTAAAATGAATAAATGGAGATGGCTTCTGTCCTAAGGGGTTGTTGTGAAAATCTGGATCAATCATGCTATGACATGTAAAAGGATTTGAAAACTGTGAAATATTACATAAATATAAGGTACTATTAATCAAATACTTTTAAATTTAGAAGAGGTTCATGGTCTCATGGAATATTAGAGATGAGTGGGACCTCAGAGATCACTATTTTATAGAGTAGGAAGCTGTTAGCTCGAAACAGCCCCAAAGGAACTGCAAGGCTTGATTTGTTCTTGACCTGAAAAAAGGCAAGCCCTTGTATAAAGAAAAGCAACACTTTAGTGGTTTCAGAATTTAGTCTCAAGACTAGCTTTTAATCTAAAGTTAAAATGCAATGCAACTCATTTCACTGTTGCAAAGTCTTACCATTTCAGATTCCCCAAAGCAATCTTTGCTTATTAAATTCAGAGGAACAGTGGTGTGCTGTTGCTGTTTAGTCATTTTCAGTCATGTCTGACTCTTTCTGAACCCTTCTTGGGGTTTTCTTGGCAGAGATACTGGAATGGTTTGCCATTTCCTTCTCTAGCTCATTTCACAGATAAAGAAACTGAAGCAAAGAAGGTTAAGTGACTTGCCCAGGGTCACACAGCTACTAAGTGTCTGAAGCTGGATCTGAACTCAGGTCTACCACGCAGCACTCTATCCACTGCACAACCTAGCTGCCCAACAGTGGTGGAGTGGATAGTAGACAGAGTTAGAAAACCTGGTTTGAATACCACTTCAGTTATTAACTTTGACTAATTCTAAATAATGTATAAATGGGAACTACTGTTATTCATTAAGTTATTAAAGTATCTATTGGTTTTGGTGATAGGAGTAGTGGTCCTTTTAGCATAGCATAACAAAAAAAATCTTCTAAAATGCAGATAACATGTCATATTACCTCCTAATGATTCCACCAGTACCTGCTTCAACATGTAAATTACTAACGACTATGAACTTGAAATAAAAACAGCAAAATAAATATTTTTAAACAAATACCATCTTCAAAAGATGAAACCTACTTATATATCTGAGTTATAAAGAATATATTTTGCATTAGGGTTTCCTCAAGAAAACAGGAATATTGCTTATACACACCAAATTTTCCTAATTAATGATATAAGCCTATTGTAAACTACTGCAAGGGAAAAAAAACTTGATTTATATAATCTGATTTAAGAAAACATTTCCACTAAAAGGGTAGGTATGGGGAAAAGACAAAAATAAAGAGAGAGAAGTCTTTTTAAAAATACATTTTAAATGTTATTACCCAATTGCAATTCAACAAATCTGTCACATTTTCTTTACAGAAATAAGTCAAGGACTTATGATTTTGTCCACCAAACCACATTTCAACCCATCTATAATCTAGAGCCTTACAGACTTTCCTAAAGCTCAGAGAAGTGACTGTCCTTGACTTCAAGTCTAGGGCTCTACTCACTACCAAGCTGCTTCTATACACTTATGTCTTTTAATTTTTGTAAATAACAGTCAAGGTAATAGTGTGGTATAGATGAGGACACTGTCACTGGAGTGAAGGGAAGTGAGCTGTAGTCTCTGTGAGGTTGATTACTTGTGTGACCTTGGACAAGCATCTCAACCTCTCTGACACTGTTTAATCATCTGTAAAAATGAAATGAGTACAGTAGGTAACCTCTAAGGTCGCTTTCAACACTTTAAGTGTATGGTTCCATAAAATTTAAGTAATAGTCCATAAAATAAGCTTTAGGGTAGGTATGTAGTATTAACAAACCAGTTCTAAATTTTAAAAACTGGACTATAATGGCTTGGTTTGAGTATTTCCAGAGTAACTGAAGTTTGGCTGCAGCACACTTTGCCTTATTAGTTATGTGATATTTTGACTTTTTAAACATTCCATGAAGAATACTTTCAGAGACCTGTTTTTCTTCAAAGTACAATCAAGTACTGCCTAGGCTCTTCTCCTTGCGAATTTACTTCTTTAAAAAAAAAAAGGTTCCACAAAAGATAATGTTCATTTCTGCCTTTTTTGGTTTGTTTTAGGGAGCTTCTGCTTGCCTTTTCAATTTCTCCAAAATCTCTTCTGGAGTTGTAGATGCCAAAATCTTTACCACTTTTTCACGAGATTTACCACCCTGGTTCAAAATAAAATAAAGAATGTCAGATGTAACATTCAAATGAAAGATTTTAGTCAATATAGGTGAACAACAATTTTCTCACAAATTTGTTTACATTCAACAATTCAATTCAATAAACAGTAATTAAGCCCATGTGAACAAAGCACTAGTACAAATCCTAGCCTCTGGGAAGATAAAAGAGTTTAAGTAAGACACACACTATTCTCCACAAGGAGCTTCTGGACTAATAGAAAGCTATGACATGCACACACAACTACAATTCAAAATTATTTATGACAAATGTTAGAAAGGCACATGTACTATGTGAGATCAGGGACAGAAAGGCAAGAGGGAAGGCCACTACCAACTGAAAAGATCCAAGAAGGCCTTCCTAGAGAAAGAGATACAGAGTTAGGCTTTAAAAAAGGTAGCAATGGGGGCAGCTAGATGGTGCAGTGGATAGAACTCCAGGCTTGGAGTCAGGAGGACCTGAGTTCAAATCCAGCCTCAGACACATAACACTCACTAGCTGTGTGACTCCGGGCAAGTCACTTAACCCCAATTGCCTCACCAAAAAAAAAAGGTAGGAATACAACAAGCAGAGAGGAAGACATTAAAAACACAGGGAACATCATGAGTAAAGTAGTGGAGGTAGATAAGTTCAGAATGTGTACAGGAAAGGGTGAGTAGTCTAGTTTGGCTGAAGCATAGTATATGAGGAAGGCAATAATATAAGATAAGACTGGAAGGCCTCAAATGCTAAGAATGGAAGTCTGAACTTCATAATAGGTAATGGGAAGCCACTAAGGATTTTGAGCAGAAGAGTGACATGACTAGATCTATGCAAAAGCAAAACAAATCTAGCAGCCATATGATAGTTTAGAAGCCAATAATAGAATGAATCAGGTAAGCAGTTAAGAGTCTGTACTTGTATTATGCCAGGGAAAATAGAAAGATCAATATAAAAGATTACAGAAGTAAATTTTGTTTAAAAAATTGTAAATTGACATCTTTTATTTTTATATCACTGTCAGTTCTAAATACACCTTCCCTCTTATCCATCCCTTGTAAAAAAAGAATAAAAATGCAGAATAAAAAAAAAACTGGTTCTGCAATTTGTGACTTTTAACAAGTAATTTAATCTTTCTAGGCCTCAGTTTCATCTGTAAAATGATGAGATTGGGGACAGTTAGGTGGCACAGTGGATAAAGCCTGCCTTGGAGGCAGGAGGACCTGAATTCAAATCCAACCTCAACACCTGACACTTACTAGATGTGTGACCCTGGGCAAGTCACTTAATCTCAATTGCCTCACCCCATCCCCAACCCCCAAAAAGATGAGATTAGATTTCTTTTTTTTTCTTTTTGGTCTGAACTTATGACTTCATTACTTTAGGGAATTCCTGGTAAGAAAACTCCCTCTACCAATTCAGATCAGCAACTCTTCTGCAATTTACAATGTTAAACTACCTGGTGAACTGAGAGGTTAAATGACTTGCCCAGAGTCACACAGCCAGTATCTGTCAGAGGTGGGACTCCAATCCAGGTCATCTTGACTCCAAGACTGCTCTTCATTCACTTTGCCATGCTATCTATCCTAACTTTCAGGGCAGCTCTCATTTTAATTTTTAAATCCTGTAATCCTAGTCTGATAAGTTTTCAAGAATGACGGAAGTGAGTTACCAGAACTCTCTTTGGGTTACATCAATTTTCTCAGTGCAGTAGGAGCCAAAGGCACTACTTTAAAGTGTGTTGGACTAGGCTAAAGAAGAGAAGATTTGCATTAATTGTGGTAGGGAATTAGGTAGAAAGGCCATAAGGGAAGACTGCCTAGCATCAGTGAGGGGCCAGTTAAGGTCATGCACCTAGTTTATGATGGTTAAGATTAATTTTGTGACTAATACTAATGGAACTGCCAGTTAAGGTCATGTACCTAGTTTATGGTGGGTAAGATTAACTTTGTGACTAATGCTAATGGAACTGCCTCAGTGACATCCCAAACTGGATAACCCTTAGGCAAATCAAATTTAGCAAAACAGAACTCATCTTTCTCATTAAGACCTCCCCTCTTCCAACTTCCTTGTTATTGTGGAGGGCACCAAGATCCTAACTGTCCAGGCTCAAGGCTTGTGTCATTCTCAATTCCTTTCTCAAACTTACTCCACATAACCATAACACATGTTATTTCTCTTCGATGAAGACTATAAGCTCATCATTGTAGGCAAGCAATATTATTACCACTACTACTACTACTACTACTACTACTACTACTACTAGTACTACTACTACACCAACACTATGTGCCAGGTACTAGGCTAAGTGCTTCGCAATTATTATCTCATTTGATCCTCACAACAACCCTGGGAGGTAGGTGCTATTATTACCCCCACTTTACAGAGGAGGAAACTTAGGCAAATAGAATTTAAGTGCTTTGATTTGGATTGAAGGGGAGAAGAACTCTGCAGATAGGAAAACTACCTAGGATGTAATAGTGTTTACAGGATCCTGCACTAGAGTTAATTGGAACCCAGAAGAGACAAATTCAAATGTATTTCGAAGAAAGAATGACATAAATTAGTGACTGATACACAGGTTTTTCACTAGTTGAGTGGGGGAGGAGGAAAGATTTGGCTCATAAAGTGATTGATGATGTATAACAAGAGCATATATATATATGAGACATACCTTATCTAAGACAACATCACTCTTCCTAAGTTCTAGGACCTTGGCAAGATACCGACACAGTTCTGCATTAGCCTCTCCTTCTGATGGAGGTGCAGCAATAGCTACACTTATGTTTTCAGTTGTCACATCTGTAACAAAAACAGTTTGAAATTTTGAGCTAAAGGTGCTCATTTTTAAACATATTAGTTAAATCAGATATAATTAAGGAAACAACACAAAATATAAATCTGGGTTTGTTTGTTTTTTTAACCAATCTATGATTTCATTAGTATAGAGAATGCCAGGTAAGGCTTCCTATACCTGCTTAGCAGCTTAGCAACTAATAAATGCTAAGAGAGTTGCTTGGGGACTGTGAAGATAAGTGATTTAAAAAAAATCTATTCTCTCTCCCTTCTATAAGCCCCTCTCCCACCAATTGGGAAAAAGAAAAACAAAACCCCTGTAACAATATACAGTCAATCAAAACAAACTCCCACATTAGCTATGTCCAAAAAAATATGTCTCATTCTGCACCCTTAATCCATCACCTCTGTGTCAGGAGGTGGGTAGCACGTTTCATCATCAATCTTCTGGAATCATGGTTGTCATTGCCTTGATCAGAGTTGTTAAGTTTTTCAAAGTTGTTTGTCTCTACAATGCTATTGTAACAGAAATTGTCCTTCTGCTTCTACTCACTTCACTGCCATTGTTGTTGGTTAGTTGCTTTCATTTGTGTCCAACTTTTCATGATGCCATATGGGGTTTTTTTGGCAAAGATAGTGGAATGGTTTGCTATTTCCTTCTCCAGCTCATTGTACAGATGAGGAAATGGAGGTAAGCAGGGTTAAGTGACTTGCCCAGGGTCACACAGTTAGTACCTAAGGCCAGATTTGAACTCAGAAAGATGAGTCTTCTTGATTTCAAGCCGAGTGCTTTATCCACTTCGCCATCCAGTTACTTGTACTCACTTCACTATGTATTAATTCATACAAGTCTTCCCAACTTTCTCTGAAACCATCCCTTTTTTCATTTCTTATAGCACAATAGTATTCCATTAAATTTATATGCCATAAATTTTTAGCCATTCCTTAATTGATGGACACCCTCTTTAGTTTCTAGTTCTTTGCCACTACAAAAAGATCTAATTTTTTTTTTTTTTTTACATATAGGTCCTTTCCTCTTTCTTTCTTTTTTTTTTTTGGTGAGGCAATCAGGGCTTGTTGACTAGCCCGGGGTCACACAGTTAGTAAGTGTCAAGTGTCTGAGGCCAGATTTGAACTCAGGTACTCCTGACTCCAGAGACAGTGCTCTGTCTACTGCACAACCGAGCTGCCCCGAAAAATTTAATTGTAAAAAAGGGAAAACTGTGGTATACAGCAGAGGTGTCAAACATGGGCTGCATGTGGTCCACAACATCAGATTAAACGAATCTGATTAAAATGTGATTTGGAAATATTTAACAAAATTTTAAAAATACAATAAAACATCAATAACATTTAAAAAAAAAAAAAAAGGTAAGTGATTAACCCAGAGTCACACAGCCAGTCTATGTAAGAGGAGAGACTTGAACCTCAGTCTTTCTGATTCTGAGGCTAGCTCTCTATCCACTATATCATGCAGCCTCTCAGAGATAAATATGCCCCTTAAACTGAATTTTCTCCCTCAATCCCACAGCTTCATCTACCACTTTTATGCAGGTGACTCCCAAATCTCTATCATCAATCCTGGTCTCTTCTGAGCTTCAGACCCACACCTCTAACAGAACATCTCAACATGGATGTGTCCCACTGACACTCCAAGTTTATTATGTTCACAACTGAGCTGCCCCCTACTCCCCATCCTTGAAACAACTCTTCCTTCTGACTTCATTATTTCTGTCTGTACAACCACGCAGAAACTGTCAAAACCTTGGTGTTATCTTTGACACTTTGCTTTCCCTTACTTCTCAAATTTAATCAGTTAGTAAAAATCCTGTTGATTCCACCTCCACAACATCACAATCCCAAACTGCAACTCCCTTAACCTAGGCTGTCATTAGGTATCTCGTTACCACCCACCTAGCCAATTTCAACTGCCTCCTAAAGAACTTCCAGCCTCTAGCTTCTCTTATCTCACTCTCATCTGTCCATCACACTTGTACCAGAATAATCTTGAGACTTAAATCCAGTAATGTATTTGCTCAAAAATTGTGGTGATACCATACTGCCACTAGACTACAACACTGTGGCCTAGCATTCAAGGCCTTTCAAGGTCTAGCACTAGCCTATTTTTCCAACCTTAGCTCACATTACTTAGCCCCACACACTACACACCAACAAAGCAGAACATGTATTGTACTCTTATGCCTTTGTGCTATAGGCTATTGCCTATGCCTGGAATGCTCACACTCCCTTTCTTCACACGCTAAACTCCTACCTGGCCTTTAAAACCTAAGTGAAGTACCACTTTGGGTAAGGCTTTCCTAATCCCCCGATAGGTAACAATTTTCTCCTTTGGACTTCATACCAGTTTTACAATTCTAAAAAAGCACATATTACATAATATTATATATTATTTTTATCTGTATATGCTATCCTCCTACTCAACTGTAAATTCCATGAGTGCAGGGACAATCTAAGTTTTACATTTTTCCCCAACTGCCCAGCAGGGCTCTACAAACAGAAGGCACTTAAGAGCTGAGTCTTGAATGAAGAAATAAATACAGAAGACACCAGAATAGGCCTAAATCACTATAGGCAGTATACTACTATATATTCAGGCAATTAGGAGAGTATATGGTAAACAACAACAAGTTCTAGTCCTAGCTATGTCACACTTAGCTTTGTGACGCTGGGCAAGTCAAACAACCTCACTGGACCTAATTTACTGATCCACAAATTTAGACTTGACTAAAATCATTCATTCAATCACACACCAAACAGGTAAGTACTTATTATGTAAAAGGCACTGAGTATCATTTCTAGCTCTAAAATTCAATTCTACAAATCAGAATCTATGGGACCAAAATGAACTGGATGAAAATTTGAACTTGCTCTACAGAAACTGTTCACACTGTCTCGCTACCAGCCCCCAAACCAATGCTACCTCATAGAGAACAATCTGCCAATATTGTCTCAATGTTACTTAGAATCATAAGATTTGGAGCTGAAAAATTCTTCAGAAGTCTTCTAATCCAATCAAATTAATTTACAGATGAGGAAACTAAGGCCCAGAAAACTGAAGTGTCCTACTTATAATCAAACAAGTAGTAAATGACAGAACTGAGATTCAAACCCAGAACTTCTAACTTTAAATCCATAGCTCTTCTCAGCTGCCTCACGAACCAGTTAGTCTTCTATCCCAGCCCCTCCCTCAGAGACTTGTTTAGGTCACTTGTGGTTAGACAAGGCAGAGATTCATTGAATTTCAGAGTTGGAAGGGACCTCAATGGCTATATAATACAACACACATCTGAAGAAAACTTTCCCTTCAACATAAATGAGTGGTTATCCAAATGGATTTAAAATATCTGCAACGTGGGGAAATCTACCTGTCAGCCCATTCCACTTTAAGAAAGCTCTATTTGTCAAAAAGTTTATATATTGTCCCTCTACAATTTTCACTCACTGCTTCTACTTCTGTCTTCTGAAGCTAAACAGAATAAGCCTAATCTCTCTTAAACCAAGTCAAATTTCACTACCCTGGGGGCCTTTTCCTGAAGATTCTCTAATTTATAAATGCCCTTCCCAACATGTGGCTCCCAGAACTGAAACAATACTCCAGATATGGTCTGACAAGGGCAGGGTACAGCAAGGCTATCCCCTTCCTATATTCCTAGATGCCATAATCCTTTGAATGTAGATTGTATTAAATTTTTTAGTTGCCATAGCTAACTCATACTGAATTTGCATTCTACTAAAACCCTAAGATCTTTTTTAACCTGCTACCTAGTTATGATTCCTCCACCTTGTACTCAGGTTTAAAAAAAAATCAAATTTACAATTTTAATTAATTAAATTTTACTTTTACAAATTTAATTTTTTTTCCTATTAAACATAGTCACCATCTTAGTTCTGGCCTTTACCACTTATTGCTAGACAATTAAAATAATAGCTGGCACTTATATAGCACTTTAAAGTTTACAAAGTGCTTTATAAATATTATCTTATTTGATCTTCACAATAACCTTGAATGCCTAAGTCCCACGTTATGAGGGTAGGAGTAGGGGAAGAAAAGTCAGATACTGAGCTCCCTGAGAAATGAGGAGAGGTCAGTAGTTAACAGCTGTTTTGATCTGAATGATAAATATTGAACTTCAAAGGAGACACTGTTGAGTGATGTCAACAAAAGGAGAGTCTGGAAATGGCAGTGGGGAGCAAATTCAGAGCATATTCTGACTTCCCATCCAGGACCAATGTGATGTGGTCGGTAAAGGGGCAGTATGAGAGAAAACTGCAGCCACTGATGGAGAAGATGGCCAAGGCTGCAGTGCCACCTGGAGGATGCTGGGTCTCTGTGTGTAAGTAGATAAGGAGTACGAGAGGAAAAGGTGTAGAACGAAGGGAAGGTTGTTAATTACTGAACAGGAATTATAGTGGGCTAAAAGACAGGCAGACTTAGGGGACTTGGGAGGGGTGGGGCTGAAAAGGATAGAGAAAAGTAGGTGAGTGGATGGGAGTAGTTTACTCCTAGGCAGCTGGTGATTCAGTAACATAGGGAAAAGGAAGAGTAACAGGTCAATGAGTTTTTACCGCCTAGGCACAGAGAAAAGCAGAGGTGAAAATCTAGGTCTCTCAACTCCTAGTTCAGGGCTATTTCTACTATACCATGATACTTTTTTTTTTTTTTACTTCTCATATAATTTCCCTAACAACTTAAATACTTCCATAACTGGAAGGGAACAAGTTAAAGTTAAACAACAGCTAAAACCTAAATTCCAGATATGACAACAATAATTTCTGGCATCTACGTAGCAATTTAGAGTTCACAATATGCTTTCTATACATCTTTTTCACTTGATACTTGTATTATCTATCTCACAAGACTATATTATTATCTCCATCTTAGAAATGAGGAAACTGAGACAGAAAAAACTTAAATGTCATGATTTGAACACAAGCTAGTACTGGTTAGAAGGATTTGAACCCAGGTCCCTCAATTCCAATTCTAGTGTTCTTTCTACTATCCTATACTGAATCTTTCACAAGTCCCATGGTATTGAACGTAATATTTAAAAAGAATCCAGATAATGACCTCTTAGAAAATTTTCTATATTTATAATATAGTGTATTTAAACAAACTGGGGTACATGAATGCAATGGAATATTACTATGCTGTAAAAAATAAAGTCTTGGGTTTTTTTTGCAAGGCAATTGGAGTTAAGTGACTTGCCCACCAGAGTCATATACTGCATATAACACTACTAAGTGTTATGTGTCTGAGGTCACATTTGAACTCTGGTCCTCCTGACTCCAGGGATGGTGCTCTATTCACTGTGCCACCTAACTGATCCAGAAATAAAGTATTTACTGATGCAGAGGGAATATAATAAAATTATAAAAATCAAGCATGATTCTAATGAAGGAATATGAGAAGACAGCCCCAACCCACCTCTTCATGAAGGCAGAAGGTCTACAGGAGTTGTATATGTTTTCAGTTGTACATGTTTTTTAATGTATTGATCAGCTGTGCTAATTTTCTTCCCCTAAAAAAATACTACTTATTATATGGGATGCCTATGTTGGAATAGGAAAGAGAAGGCTAGTGGGGAAATCCAAAAGGATAGAAGATGCAAGAAACACAAGACATCAATAAGAACTTATTTTTAAAAATGCAGTGTACTAATTTTCAAAACAATGATAACATATAATAGGTTGGCAGCTTATTTTAGTCTAGAATTTAGAAATGGAGAAAATAGCTTCTAGCTTTTAAATCCTCAGATCCTAGAACCTCTTAATTTCATGATCAATCCCGTGCTGTAGAAGTAAGAGACAAATGTATTGGCAAAACAAGTTCATAACTATACAAGTTAGAGTAAATAATGTATGTAGGGCCATAAACCCTTCACATACTTAGTAGGCAACATGTGAATTCAACTACTTGGTTCAAATATACCTGTTATGGCATTTTGTTTGGAACCAGGTTTGGCATGAATGGCTATTGTGATGGAACCACTCTGATCAACTGCCACAGGTCCAGTGGGAGGAAGTGGTTTCACTGGCTCCTTATTCTGGCCTTTCCCCTAAAAAACAATAACAACATCACCTTAAATTTATACAGTGCTTTATGGTTACAAGTACTTTCACATACATAACTTTATCTGATTCTTAGACAACTACCCTCTTCAAATTTATACAGAAGACATCTTGTTTGTACAGAGTTGTTTGCAAGTGGTCTACCCAATTAGACTGTGAGCTCCTTGACACAAGGACTGCTTTGGCCTTTCTTTGTGTCCTAAGCACAAGTGCCTGGCATAATAAATACCTGTTGACTTGACTTCTCATACTTTACTCTTATGACAATTTTACATTGGGATACTTCATTCCCCCAATATACTAAGCATATTGGGCAATGTGGTACACTAAAAAGAACACTGGATTTGGAGTCACAGAACTTAGTGACTTCTGCTGGTTACATCTGTCTGACCTTGGGCCAGTGACTTAACCTCCCTAGACCTCAATTTTTTCATTCAGCTACCTTATTTTACCGTAAGAGGACTTATAAGTCCTTGCCAGTTCTAAATCTGAGTTTTCTGCCTCATGAACTTTCCCCACCTCACTGCCTTTGTTCAGTTTCCTCCCTCTCTCTGAAAGGCCTTCTCCTCTAACCCAGTGCATCAAATCCTATCTATCTTTAAGGCCCAGTTCAAATGACATCTCTGCTGAAGTCTTCCTGTTTACCCTCCACTCAGCATGCAAAATTGGAATAATCTCCTTCTCTGAACAACACCCCCCACCTCTGTAAATGTCCTATGAAATTTTTAACTTATGGCAGTCTTGTATTATAGTTATTTGTATCTGTCTTATTTTCCCTATTATATTGTAAGCTATGTGAGAATAAGGAACATGTAGTTATAGTCCCCCAAAAGCCCCCTGGCATTCTTTTAATGTCTATAAATGCATTAATTCAACAACATTAAGTGTCTATTATATTCAAGGCACAGTGTTAGATACAGATACAGATATGAAAGAGTTTGTTCTCATGGAGCTTACTACCCAATAGGAGACATAAGACACATACAAAGCAACACGCTACACTGCAGAATGTGAAAAATAAAGAATAGATCCAAAGCACTATGAGAAATACGAAGGAGGAAGGTGATCAATTTGACTTAGGGACATAAGGACAAGCTTCGTGGAGGTGGCGCCTAATTTAGGCTTTGAAAAAAACTACAAGGACATAGAATGACTCCATACATCACGGCAGTAAAGATTAGAATGAGATTGGGAAACAATGTCGAGTTTGGTTAATGGTTCAGTTTAGTCAAAACTTCAAAAGTGGGAAGGGGAGTAAACTTTGAAGGTTACTCTCTATGTGACCATGAGCAAAAGTTCTCTTGCATGAGGTTTCTTTAACTCTAAGACAGGAATAACAATACTTGAGTTATCCACTTTTCTTTTTTTTTTTTTTTGGTGAGGCTTTTTGGGGTTAAGTGACTTGCCCTGGGTCACACAGCTAGTGTCAAATGTTTGATCTGAAGCAGGATTTGGACTCAGGGCCTTCTGACTTCGGGGCGCTGCTCTATCCACTGTGCCACCTAGCTGCCCCAGAGTTATCCACTTTTCAAATGTTCATTCTGAGGAAAGGGTTTTGTAATCCTTTAAGTGCTCCATCAATATGAGTAGATTATTATTATAATTAAGGATAGAAGGGTAGAAGAGGACTTCAACAAAGAGCAGTAGAAGAGACTGGAGCCAGACTGTAAGAGGCCCTGAATACTAGATAAGTATTATGGGTAATGGGGAAATGCTAAAGATTTCTGAGCAGGGGAATGATATGCTCAGACCTGTGCTTTAAATTTTTACTGTGGCACTTGTGTGAAGGACAGATTGGAAAAAAACCACTTAGGAGACTATCCCATAGTGCAGGCAAGATGTGTTAAAAAGTGTTAGGGTGAATAAAAAGAGATATTAGAAGTATTTTTGAAGTAGAATCAACAGCACTTTGCAACTAGTTGGATGTAACAGGGTGAAGAAAGAAAGAGTAAAAAATAACTAAACTTTTGAGCATGGATAACTGGAAGGTGGGCATCATTAAGAGGAAATGCAAGGTTTTTTGGTGGAGATATTTGTTTCCACAGGTTTGATATTAGCTGTTGGCAAGGTATTCAGTTAGAGAACAAGCCAGTAATTGGAAAAATGGGACCAGAGCCCTGGGGAGAGTTTGGGGCTGGAGACATATTTTGGAAGTCATTTTCATATTCAACAAACATTTTATTAAACGCTTACTATATGCAAGGTCCAAAATGATACTACACATAGTGCTGGACTTGCAGTCATGGGACCCACATTTGAATACTGGCTCTGAAACTGTGTAGCCTTCAGCAGGTCATTGAAACTTAGGATGAGATCACAGATTTAGATCTGGAAGGGGCACTAGGGGCCACTTCGTCTAACCTCCTCATTTTGTAGATGAGGAGACTGAGGCCCAGGAAGATTAAGTGACAGGCCCAAGGTCACCTAGGTGGCAGAGTCCACTGACTTATGTCCATCATCACCCGGTCCACTGTACCATCCCGCCTCTCTTAGGGATTTCCTCACCTGTAAAGCCCTTTTGAGGCACTACGTCACTGGGTTGCTGTGAGCAAAGTTCTTGGAAACCTGAAAGCCTTAAATCAACGTGAGCCAACATGATAAGAACATGAGTGCCGGCTGTGAGGAGTTTAAAACCTAAGACACTTTTCACCAAAAATACGCTACCAGGCGGAATGTCACAAGGGCCAAGCGAAGCCCAGGCCCGAACGACCCAAAAAATAGGACCTGCCCTGACACCAGGGCTCTTTCACCTTTCTGGGCCTCAGTTTCCTCATTTGGAAAACGAGACCGATGACCAGGAAAGTGACCACTAAAATGACCACGAAGCACCCCCTCCCGCAGCCCCGTCGGGTCAGTGCAAAGGCTAGAGCACGAAGGAGTCGGAGATCCGAGTCCCAGGCCAGGTTCTGCCTCACACACGTCGCGAAGCTGCTCGGGGCCTCAGTGTCCCCGTCTGGAACGTGAAAGGGCCGACACTGAGGGCGCCTCGAGGATCCTAAACTTTCTCGTATAGGGCTTCCCCCCAAGACGCACGTCGCGGCACAAGCCCTGCCCAGGCCCACTGACCTTCTTGGGCATCCCCGCGCCAGAAGCAAGCCTGGCCGCCGCCGCCGCCTTGGCGCCGACCCGGGCTCCGTCAGCCCACCGGCAGATGTAGAGCATGAGCCGCTGGGTCTTCTCCGCCCGAAAGAGCCGCTGCTTGGTGGGGCGGCCTCCGCGCCTGCGCGGCCCTCACGCCTGCGCTCTGCCGCACGGGAGGACGGGACCAAAGCGCAGCTTCCGAGAGAAGGCTGGAGCGCAGACCGAGGTCCGCCCCCAGGCACCGCACTAGCGGCTCAGCCCGGTAGGGAGCCGCCCTCGGAGGGCGTGGCCCCGGCCCGGGCCCCTCCAGGACCCCGATCTTCGAGTAGAAATGAATATAGAGATCTAGGGTTTACTTTCATTCACTGTCCCCCCCCCACCCCCCCCATGACTGGAATTCTCTTTTGTCGTATTTGGGAGACCCAGATTCCTTCAAGTCACAGACAGCTAAACTACCCTCAGTTGATATGTCCACTCACGGTGGTGGTTCGTCGTCTCCCCGACTGTCAACTACTTTAATAGGGGCTTTTGTTTTAACCTCTGTAGTGTCAGCAGTTAGCAATGTTAGCAAAGTTGGTAACGTGGTAGGCACTTAATCTTTGTTAACTGGACTAGAAGCCAGTCAGTGGAAAGCTTAGGTCTCTAACACAGGGTAGGGAAATACTGATGCTTACTGGGTGGGAAATAGATAATCCAGAAAAAAAAAAAGCCTAAGAAACAGCAGCAGGACATGTAAAAGGAGGTCCAGGAGAAAGAACAGTGAAACCAAAGGAGGAAGTATCCAGAAGGGGAAGGGTAATCAATAGTATGTAAAGCTATAGAAAAGCAGGTGAGAACAGAGAAAATACCATCAAATTTAGCAGTTTAACATCTTTGATAATCTTGAATGAAAATTCAGCACAGAAGACGACAAAATCAAATGAAAGTTTGTGGTGGTGGTGGTGGTGGTTGTTTGTTTTTAAGGATAGGGTAGAAGCATGTTTGTAAGGCAGTGTAAGGAGCCAGTAGGTAGAGACAAAATGAATTACTTACTAACCAGTGAATGATTACTACATATGAGATCATCCAGAGCATAGCTGTATTTTAGCATAGCTAGGAGATCAAGTAATATCATCTATGTTTGTTACAAATTTTGAAAACATTTAGTCTACTTTACCAACAAATCAGAGATAAATTTAAAATACTAGAACCACAGTTGCAAATTGGCTCTCCAATGAGAAAATGGTCAGAATGTTCCAAAACTATAAAAACTGGCAGTGGAAGAAATCATTCTCAGGAATTATATCAATAAGGTTGTAAGGATATACTTTTATTATCACACTATTTCCATAAACTAAAAAAGGGAAACCTTTATTAGCAAAGACCCTCAACTAGAAATCTATTTCAAAGCCAGAACCACCCCCAAGACTGACAGAATAAATATATTTTAAAATTCAACTTCTAAGGCTTGACCTTTAGGACAATACAATTCTGTTCAATTTTCTACACCTTTCTACAGATATATCTAACCTAAAATTATATTTAATGTTCATAATAGTGATCCTGAGACTTTGTAAAAAGTCCAGTCAAGAAATAGACTAAATATCTTTGGGACATTATACTTACCAAAATAGGATCGTGTAGAATTATGTTAGAAATATTTTAGGCAAAGGTTCAAACAAAAAAGTATTTTCTGATTAACCCTGAGTTAACCAGAATTCATTTCCTTGGGCATTACAAGTAACCAAGAATTTTCACTGCTTTGCAGTCACCGGTATCAAAAACAAAAATCTAAGTCTTTCCCCCCTTTTCCCAGTTATTCTGAGAAATAAAGGTTACCTCCATACTTCCCTGCCCCTACTTTAAAAAATTTTTTATAAACTAAAGTTCTATTTCAGATGAAAGCTTTTTATTCAAACATTCTACTTAATGTTTCTTCCTTAAGAAATTCTTTGAAATTCCTTTCTCATAGCATAAAATTTATTAAAACCTAAGACACTTAAATCATTTACTTAAAAAAAAATAGCAATATAATTTTACCTGCTCTACTTCAAATATGCTGGAACAGCTGTATTCATGATAGTTTAATAAAGCCCCAAATATAAAGGAATATAATACAAAGGAAGTAACATTATGAGCGACAGATATAGACCTCTGAGATATTAATAAAACTACAAAGTAGTTTTATTAGAGGTATTTGGTAGCAAGGTGTCAGGGCTATGCCCTATTTATTGTGCAGCACTATCAATGAAATGTTTAACAGATCTCTATGTAATAAATCATTATAATCATCTCATTCTCTGGAACATAAAGTATCATTCCAAATCCCTCCTCCCCTCAAAGAAATTACACGCATAGTGATAGAGCATCCAGTCTTGGATAACTGCTTTTTCACATTTTACATTACTGCAGATTTATTTATATAAAACTCCAATTTGTAGTTTATAAGTTCTACTATGTAACCACATTACTATACTACTACAAAATAACCATTTCTTTAAATGGGCTCCAGATTTCCTCAGGTAAGCAGATAAATGCTTTTCAACACTTAGAAACATTTAATGCAATTCCAAATGTCTATCACAAGATAAACGTTCATGGTTCCCCAAGATTCCAAAACCAAAGATACAAATCCAGTTTTCATATTTCCTGAAAACAGTTACTTGAATTAATAAAAGGTTTAGCAAGAATACTGACCAAGCCCACATGGATCAATTCACCCATCCATTTGGCAAAACAGTAAAAAACCCAAACTTCAACAGTCCTTAACAAGTAAAGATCTTTCCATTTAAAAACTAATGAAAGACTATCAGCCAAACAAGCTGATTTATGAAATTATACAAGTGAAAGCACAAGTAGCTGCTTAAATACATATTTTTTACAATTAAAGTCCTGCACTTTTCTCCTAGAGTTATATGAAAATGAAACACTTTCCATTAAATTCTTTATAGCCTGATGATTATCATGCAAAGCCAATATGGACATTTTTTTATCTTTCCTAAGAAACTAAAATGTTTCTTATATATTAAAATTATGAACATTCATAACACACTACTAACATTAGCAGCTAGTTAGTTATGCCTTTCAGATTAGTATGTTTATTTGCTGAATTATGTATAAAATATTATTTCTGGTATTTGTCCATCTTCTATTGATGTACCATTATTATTGCCAGGAGAACTAAAGAATGAAAACGTTGTTTTGCTCGCAGCAGGTGTTTCATGTACAACTTTCTTCAATCCTTTTGTGCCGTAGTGTGAATCTGGACCCTAAATCAGAACAAAAGGTTTGTCAGCAAATAATGGCTAAAAACGAACTTACATGGTTCTCTAATTATGAATGTTATACTATACATTATAGCTACTACCTAACACTTTATACACAAGCTAAAGAGCATTTGGAATCATTTAAAAAAAAAGAACTTTTGCTAAAAGTATGACTTCTGATGAAATTACTAGACTTAATAAGCCTCTTCTTGGAAACAGAGAGAGAACCTAATTATTTGGAAGAACATGAGTATCCAGCTATTCTCTTTGTCTTATCGCTCATTTAAAATGAAGGATTCCCTAATGAAATGTAAGTGGTAGATCTGAGTTTGTATATAGTTTTCTCCAGAAAACAGAAGAAAAGGAATCATTCTCTTCGCAGTCTCTATTTTTTCTACCTAGAAAGGCTCCCACTATTCAGGAATATCAGTTTATGTCTGAAAGTGACTTCCTTTAAAATAATAGTTACGAAAATTTTAGCAGTGGGCCCAGATTAACTTACAAAATTATACATTCTTTAAAAAAAAAATCTTACTTTGAGTGTTGCACAGGCTGTATAGCAGACATTGGGTAAAATTTCTATAGGTTCTTTGAACATGACCCGGAAAGTGTTAGCTGTTCCATCACAACTAAATCCAGTATCATTTTGTCCCAGAGTTTGTTTTTTTTCATATTCAATTATCTGTAACAAAAGAAAATTAAATATAAACTACTTCAGGGAAGCAATAAAAACTTCCCAAAGCAGGACTGGTTATAGAAATAAACAGGAAAACTACATCTTTTTCACAACTAAGTGCTAAAACTGGGCAAAACTCTGTATCTTAATTCCTACTTTTTGTACTTCAAAAAAGATAATTTTTTTACAGTCAGAAAATGATTAAGTCTGAAAGACCTTTTTGAAAGAAGGCATCAATGGGTCACAGAAAGGACAGTGACTACACAGGACAACCATGAGCATTCAGTGGCTCTTTGAATAGAAGATTTTTTTTTAATTTGCATAAGTTAGCCATTCTAAAGGGTTTCCCCTAAAAGCCTTTGAAATTAGAAAATAAAATTGCCCTAGAACTGTCAAGGGTGTTACACATTTATCTGTTCCCTAAGAAGCATAAAATAATCCAAATAAGATCTTTTTCTTATTGCTTAGGTTTTTGGCCAATTTTGTTTTTGTTTTTGTTTTGGCAACCCATTTGGCTATTTAATATATACCTGAAAATGACTAAGGTGTCTGGGCACTCCATGAATTATATACACCAGAAATAAAAAAAGCTATTTTTGGGGCAGCTAGGTGGCACAGTGAATAGAGCTCTGGCCTTGGAGTCAGGAGGACCTGAGTTCAAATCCGAATACTTGACACTTATTAGCTGTGTGACCCTGGGCAAGTCACCTAACCCCAACTGCCTCACCAAAAAAAAAAAAAAATTCTAACTCAACAGCATTTAAAATTAAGTGAGAATAAGTCAACAAGAATTTAATAAGCACCTACTATATTCCAGGCAATGTGCTGAGCACTGGGGATACAAAGAAAAACATCTGCCCTCCAGGAGTTTACAGTCTAACTGGGAAGACAACATATAAACAACTATATACAAACAAATCATATACAGGATAATCTCACCGGGGCGGGGGGGGGGGGGGGGGCACTAGCATTAAGTGGAATAGGGAAAGTCTTCTTACAGAAGGTGGGATTTTAGCTGGAATCTGAAAAAAGTCAGGAGACAGAGATGAAGAGGGAAAGAACTCAAGGTATGGGGAACAGCCAGTTAAATAGCAGGTAATCAGGAGATGTAGGAATACCAAGGAGGTCAGTATTACTACATCAGAGAATGAAGAGGAGAATAAGGTGTAAGATGACTGGAAAGAAGAGGAAGGAGACAGGGTATGAAAGGCTTGAAAAGCCAAGCAAAGAATTTTTTAATTTTTTAATTCAGGAGGTAATTAGAATTTACTGACTGGGGGGCATTGGAAAGATGGTAGTATCCTACATAGTAACAGGGAAGTTAGGAAGATGGGAGGGTATTCAGCTCAGTTTTGGACATGTTGGTTTAAGCTGTTTATGAAACATCCAGTTCATTATGTACCATAGGAAGTTGGATGCAAGACTGGATGTCAGCAGAGAAACTAGGATTGGATAAACAGATATAAGAATCACTGCAACAGAGATAATTAAATCCATGAGAGCTGACAAATCATCAAGCGAAATACAGAATGAGGGGAGAAACGTGCCCAGGACAGAAGTTTGGGGGATACACAATGGTTAACAGAAGCAGCCTAGATAAAGATCCAGCAAAAGAGACAGAGAAGGAGCAGTCAAACAGGTAGGAGGAGAAAGAGGTGAGAGTAGTGTCCTAGAAACCTAGAAGGAAGAGAGTATTCAGTAGAAGAGTGTGATCAACAGTATCAAAGGCTGAAGAGAGGTCAAGAAGGATGAAGACTAAGAAAGGACCATTAGATTTGGCAATAAAGAGATCATTGGTAAGAATCTATGACCAAACGAGATAGAAATGATCACAGGAGGTAAAATGGATAATTTTGATTACATAAAATTAAAAAGGGTTTGCACAAATAAAACCAATGCAGCCAAAATTAGATGGGGAACAGGAAACTGGGGGAAAAGTTTTATAGTCAAATTTCTCTGAGAAAGGCCTTTTCTCAGGGAACTGAGTCAAATTTATAAAAATAAAAGCCATTCCTCAATTGATAAATGGTCAAAAAATATGAACATGCAGTTTTCAGATGAAGAAATCAAAGCTATTATAGTCATATAAAAAAAATGCTCTAAATCATTATTGATTAGAGAAATGCAAATTAAATCAACTCTAAGGTACCATCTCACACCTATGAGATTGGCTAACATGACAGAAAAGGAAAATAGCAAATGCTGAAGGGAATGAGGAAAAACGAGGACACTAATACGCTGTTAGTGAAGTTATGAACTGGTCCAATCGTTCTGGAGAACAATTTGGAACTATGAACAAAGGGGTATAAAACTGTGCATACCCTTTTACCCAGCAATACCACCACTAGGTCTGTATCCCAAAGAGATCAAAGACATAGGAAAAAGACTTATGTGTACAAAAATACTTATAGCAGTTCTTTTTGTAGTAGCAAGGAATGGCTGAACAATTTGTGGCATATGATTATGATGAAATACTATTGCACTATAAGAAATGATGAACAGAATGGTGTCAAAAAAACCTGCGAAGACCTATGTGAACTGATGCAAAGTAAAGTGAGCAGAACCAGGAGAACAGTTGTACACAGTAACAGCAATACTGTAATGATGATCAGCTGTGAAAGACTTAGCTACTCTGATCAAGACAACGATCCAAGACAATTCCAAAGGACTCGTGATGAAAAATACTATCCACCTCCAGAGAGAGAACTGATGAATTCTGAGTATAGAAATTATCTTTTTTTTTGCTTTATTTTTCTTGCCTTTTTTTTTTAACGTGGCTAATATGGAAATATGTTTTGAATGCTTTCACACATATAACTGATATCAGATTGCTGATCTGATTGCAAATCAAAATTTTTTGAAGAGAATGTTTAAATAATAAATTTCTTTCAAAAAAAGTTTGAAGAGAGCAGTTTCAGTTGAATGATGAGGCGAGAAGTCAGGCTACAGAGTTAAGAAAGTGAAAAGAAGTAGAAGAATGGGAGGAGAGTTATGGGATGATAGCTAGTGGGGATGGAAAGATTAAATGAGTTTTTTTGAGGCCAGAAGAGACAGAGACATATCTGTTGGCAGTGGGCAAGGAGAGATTGAAGTCAAGTGAGATAGAAGGGATGAGAAGAAGGCAATCTACTAAAAAGTGTAACAGAACGAATGTGATCATTTGTACACACAGAGGTCTGCCTTGGCAAAAAGAGGCATGTCTTCATGTGATATAGGAATGAAGGAGAGTGGCAGAAGGCATCTGGGTAGTGTGGGATAAGGAGGAAGGGAGAAGGGGCATTTGGCAAGCAGCCTCATCTTTTCCAGAGAAATGGGGCAAGATTCTCAGCTGAGAGTGTGGAGGGAGAAGGAGACATGGGAAGTCTGAAGAGGGTTAGAAAGATTGGGAAAAGCCACTGTACTGAGTGGGATAATGCATTGATTAGGGTAATGTGAAAGCAACTACCTTGCTGAAATGCAACATTAATTTGTAGTGGACCTAGTCAGCATGATTTTGAGATCTTCTCCAGCTTTGTTCAGCAGTATGTGAATAGGAGCAAAGGCAGTGAGTGGACAATGGGAGTACTCCAAGGAGTAATTCAAAGATAAGATCAGTAATAGAACAGAGTCGGCAAAGGACTTGAGGATGGTGTAGAGTTGAACTGGTTCACAGCTAGTAATTTTAATGTTCCTTTCCCCTGGTTCTCTTACCTATCAGACTATTCCTTCTCAGCCTCTTTTACTGGATCCTCATCCAGGTCACACCCACTAACCCCCTGTCCCACAGGATACTAGCCTGGGTCCCCTTCCCTTCTCTCTCTATACTACTTCACTTAGGGATCTCATCATCCTATGGATTCAACAATAATTTCTTATGCTGATTATTCTCAAATCTACCTTAATCTCTCTGCTGACCTCCAATTTCCTATTTCCAACTGCCTTTCAAACATATGAAATTGGATGTCCAGTAGACATCTTAACTCAGCATATTCAACAGTCAATCTTTCCCAACTCCTCTTACATCTAGTGGTTTCCCTCTTTTAATTATTTCCTGTTTCTCCTATATATAGCTTGTTTTTACAAATTTGGTAACCTTGGTTGTCTCCCCCATTATATTATGAGCTCCTTGAGGGCAGGGACTATCTTTTGCCTCTTTTTGTACCCCCAATGCTTATTAGCATATTGCCTGGCACATAGTAGGTCCTTAACAAATGTTTATTGAATGATCAATATGTGTGTGTTATTGTGGCAGTAGACCAAATTATGACATGAACTATATATATTTATATATGTTTACATCTATATAGCACACCTTTGTCATTTTATCATTGAATCCCTTCCAAGTTATTCCTGACTTCCAAGTCAAGTCCTCTCCACTCAAGAGGAATCAAGCAGTTCTATCTAGTTCCCTAGTTCTACAGTCAGTTCAGATAGCATCCCCAACCTATTTCTGGGTCTCCAAATTAAAACTCTTAACTCTGCTCTTCAGCTGTTACAAAATTGTAAATGCACCCAGAACTACAAAAAGAATTTTTACTGTTTTTTAAATGTAAGCTATGCTGTGATTTCTTTTCAAATTAATTAAGGCTGCATTAACTAAGTTATAGATATTCTTCCTTCAGTACAGTCATATATTCCAGTATTTTCTTTTTTGGTACATTTCAAACTTCTCTCAGAATCTTGAGGCAAAATCCCACCTCTAGTCTAACTTGTATTCACTAACATTAAAAAAGATTCTTTTGGTTAATATGAAATTAACTAGGAAGAATCAAAAAATATTTTAGACAAAAGAATCAAACTTCAAAAAGACAGTCAAGTTGGAGTGATAGGGATGAAATTACCAATATAACTGAAGTGCAATAAACCAAGTATTGACTAAAGCTAAAAAAATAAACTGTATAAGTGTAGGACATGGTGGGGGAAGGAAGAAATACAAATCATAGAATAACCACATATTAATAAAAATATTTGTGTGTGTTCAAAAGAAGATGATCAGATTGCTAACATCTTTGAATTAAAAACAAAGATAAGTAAAAAAATCTCTGCCAACAAGAAGTATATAATTTAGTAATGGAGTTAAGATAAGTATAATGATATCACAACATAGGATAAGTTATGGGAAAATAAGAGACTATGTAAGTCTGGAGGAGGGATAGCTCATATCCCTTCCTCTGCACTGGCTCCTTCCAATCCATCTATAAATATGCTCAGGTTTCTCCAATTCAGAAAGAAACAAAAAGATTTTCCCTTCTAGCCCACTCAGCTACTATCTCGTCTCTTTTTTTCTCTTTTCCCATTAAATATCTTGAAAATATCGTCTATCCTGTCTGGTTCTGCTTTTCTCATTACCAATCTGTCCCTCTTTCATCTTAACGTTCTACAATCTGCTGTCTACTCTCAACACTACAGAAATTATTCTCCCTAAGACGATCACCAAATCCAGTGGAGGTCCTTTTCTATTTCTCATTCACTTGATTTTACTGCTTTTGACACAGCTGATCATTCATTCCACCACCTTCAGGCTTCCTGAGCTTTTCTGGTTCTCTTCTTACTTTTCTGATAAAGTTATTTTCTTTTTCTGTTTTTTTGGCTCCTTTCTTTCTCAACCTCTTAGAGCAGACATTTCCTAAGGGTGTATTTTTTGGCCTTTTTCCAGCTTCACTATTTACACACCATCTTCTTTAGCAATCTTACTCACTCCCAATTCAATTACTTCAGAATTTATACCTCAAGTCTTGAACTTTTTCCTGATATCCAAACCTTGAACTCCAACTTGCTGCAGAACAACTCTAACCAAATATCCTACTGGTACCTCAAACTCAACGTGTCCAAACCCAATTTCATTCTCTTTGCCCTTGAGCCTGCTCTTTCTCTTCCTTTCATGTATCATTGTCTGAGACACCACCATTCACTTAGTGTACTTCAACTTACATATCCAATCCCTTTCACATTCCATCAGTTAACAAGTCTTCTTGATTCCACCTTCTTAATCTCTCTCCCATCTATTTTCTCCTCTCTCACTTCACTAACAACATGCAAAGTAACACCCGTTTCCACCTACCAGGACTACTGAAAAGATATTTAATTGGATATTCCTACTTCTACATTTTCCCTTTGATAATCCATCCTTCATTACAACTTCTAAAATATCTCTATGTTTAAGAAACATATCTGGTCATCTCATTCCTCTGCTCAAAAGTCATCATTCTTCCCATGCCCCTAAACAATTACTCTACAATGCTTTGTTTGGCATTCGAGGACCTCCAAAATCTGGTCCCACTCTACCTTTCCAGACAAACTTATGTCACCTCCCTCCATACACTTAATATGCTTCAGGGAACCTGGTTTACGTGGAGTAAGCTGTGAATCCCCTTGCCTCTGTGCCTCTGCTTAAGCTGATCATTATTCTTTGAATATTTCATTCCTACCCTCTTTTTAAAGCCCAAATTAAATGCTATCTTCCTGAATCCCATTCTTACTCTCCTTATTGAAAGTTGGTAATGGATCTTCCTTCTCTTGACTTTACATGGCACTTTATTTTAAACCTCGTTTTGCACTTATGTAACGTTTTGTTATTATCATTATCTGTGTCGTATTTCCCTTAACATACTGTTATTCTATGAAGGCAAGAACAATGTTTAATTTAAATTCTGTATACCTATCAGAGTTCTCTGAAAACGGTGTTTTAATAAATGTTGAACCAATGTGTCTAGTTTGGAGGGGATCAGAGAAAGATGGGTAGTATTCCAAAAAACAAAAATGGGGGTAGGGGGCGGAAAAGAGAGGGGTATTCCAGGAATAATCACAGATCTGGAGCTAACAGGGACCTGAGGGGCCACTGAGGTTGAGAAAATATCCTGAGCAAAAGCACAGAAATGGTAACAGTGAATAAATATAACTTGTCTAGAGTGTACTTTGTAAGTATAAGGGTAATGAAATATAAGGCTGGAAAAACATGTTGGGATTCTATTGTGTAGTGTTCTGAATAATAAACTTTGTTTAAACTATTTTATAAGTAGCCATTGACTATTTTTAAGCAGGGAATCATTACTGAACCAGTACTTTAGAAAAATTAATTTGTCAACTATACAAAATGGAATGGAAAGTAGGAAAAATAGTTTGGAGATCATTCCAAGAGTCTAGGCAAGAGATAACAAAGGACTAAACTACAGGGACAACAGGAGGAATGAAAAAGGAATGGATATGAAAAATGAAAATATTTTAAGGATTATGTGCAAGAGGATTAGGCTTATTCTTTGTTGCTACAGAGAATCCAACTAGGACAGAAGAATTTTTTTAAACTAAGGTACTAAAAAAAAAAATAACAACAAATAGAATGCTTTGTGAGGCAGTGAGCTACCTACCCATCACTGGAAGTCTAAGGAAAGGCAAAATAACCTTGTGAGGATTCCTCTCCTTGGAAGGTTAGACTTGATGTTCTCTTTCCAACTCTAAGGTTCTACGATTCTAAATGAATTCCTTTAGAATAAGATAGTCTCTAAAAGTTCAACTCTGCATATAGGTTAAAATTAGGCTTTTAGAACTACCATCTCTCTGTGAGCGCCACTGGAATTACTGTTTTTCCTCAAAGCCTTAGTCTGCTCTAAATGGCCACACATTTTTTCTTCATAAGTTTAACAGAAGATAGTCTGAAGTAGGATATATAATTTTGTAAATTAAATTAAATATAATATAAATGGGGTTTTGCCACAAACTTATTACAAAAACACAAGTTTCCATTAAAATAATTTATGCAGAAAAAGGGGTACCTGTATATTCACTTGATAATCTGTGGGCCCATGAATAGAACCATATAACCCAAATCCTACTATGGAGATTCTTCTATTAACTGTGAACCTGAAAAAATAAAATAAAATCAGTAGTAAATAGTTCTATAATTATCAGTAAATGATGACCCAGAATAATTACACAAGATTTAATATTGTGGAAGCACATCAACCCTCTCCCCGCCCCTCCCCTCTTTAGGAAATATTAAGAATGGCTAGGCATGGTGGCACACAGCTATAATCCCTGCTATTAGGGAGGCTGACTGGTAAACCACTTGAGCTTTGGAGTTCCAAGCTACAGTAGGCTAAGGTGATCAATATCCATATTAAGTCCTGGCAACCAGGCTACCAAAAGAGGGGAGAACTAACTCAGGGACCCAGTCTTGAAGGAAAGCAGATCAAAGCTCCTGTGCCAATCAGCAGTAATACTGGGCTTGTGAGTGGTGGTTACACTTTTAGCCTGCAATGGTGCAACGGGGCAGGGGGAGTAATGGAATGAGAGAACAGAGATAAAAATATTAAGAAATATTTCTCTAGTCTGAAGTCCTTTTCAGATTTATCTGAATGAAGAAACTCTTATCAGTATTTAATACTTCTCTAAAAAAATACCCTGCAGGGCAGCTAGGTGGCGCAGTGGATAGAGCACCAGTCAGGAGGACCCGGTCAAATATGACCTCAGACACATAACACTTACTAGCTGTGTGACCCTGGGCAAGTCACTTAACTCCACTGCCTAGCCAAAAAAACAAAAAACAAAAAACAAACAAACAAACAAAAATACCCTGCTCTAAATCCTATTCACCCTTACCAAAGGCCTAACATCACTTTCCTAGGAAAAATGGTTGAAAATTCAGGAGGGAATTCTATTTTTCTGAAAGACAAATTAGGCCAATGACCTAACAGAGCAAGAGACCCTTGATTAATCTACTTAAAAGCAATATCTTCTTTCCCCATACTTTGCCCAGAATTGAGTAACAATCAAATTAAAGAGAAGGAAGATATCTCTGAAAGAAGTATATACCTGGAGTTTACTTCTGACCAGATGGAATGGAGAATACTTGAAGGAAGTGACTAAACAAGGATTGAATGAATGGTTTTCAGAAAACAATTCTTTGACATTTTAAGTGACTACTTAAATAAATGTTCTGTTTGACAAATAAAATGTTCTGTCTGGTGAAGCAGAATATTAACCAACTTTCACCTGGGCCTTTTAACTAAGTTTTATCTCATTGTGGAATTTGTCTTTTTATGAGACAGTTAATATATACTCTAACTATAAAATGACCTAGGTGAGAGAGATATTTTCAAAGGCAAGATAGATTTTTTGTATTTCTAAGAAAAGAATGATTTAAAAATAGTTATATTTATAATTTGTTTCTTTCCCTTCCCTAACACTATCCTTTATAACACAGTATAAAAAAGAGGAGGAAAAAAGTAGTTCAGCAAAACTAACCAACACATTGTCCACCTCTGCAAAGAAGAGAGGTATATATCTACTACAATATTCTAACACAGAATTTTGAGGTTTCAAGGAGCCACAATCTGGGAATCACTAATCTCAATTAACCAGTGATCACTAACGATAGATAATCACTAACCATTCCTTTAATAATATGTTCTAGAATTGTGCCCAAAAATACAGTCAGACGCATGGGTCTACAGTTCAGATACGCCATTCTCCTCCTTTTTTGAAAACTGGGAAATCTGCCCTTCTCCACTCTTGTGTTACCTCTCCCTTTCTCTAAGATTTTCCACCTTATTTTTTACAAGGCTTAAACAGAGACACATTAATTAAGGGAAATCTGGATTACAATCACCTCAGTGATTTGTTGAATAGTCTTGGCTAAGTCTAGTAATTTTTGAAAAGTAGAGTATAAAAAAAATTATCATCGCATCTTCCTCAAACAATCTTCAATTCAACATCAAATCTGTCTTTTGCCCCTCCGCAATATGATACTATGACAGATACCTAATTCGGTCGCTTGTTCCACTGTAACCCCAACGACTCTCTACTTGCTGGAATCTATTGATGCTGCATTCTTTTCCCCTGAGGCAGCACCTTGGGCGATCAATGTATTCAACTCGGGGTTTAGGATTGACTGTAAAATGAAGGAAGAGATTTACCACTTCTCGGTCTGATAAAATTCCAGATTGAGCAGGACCTGTGGAAAGAAAAAAACAAACTTCAATAAAATTTTTTTTTAAAGTGCACTTTGAAGCACTGAACTTTTAAAGTCAAAATTGATTTGCAATACCTAAACCAAGTACAAGAGAAAAAACATTCCTAAGTAATAACAATAACATCAGCTCCTTCTGAGTACAGTCTATGATAAGAATAGGTTAATAGAAGGCATAAGAGTTTAATATTAATATAATTTTGCTTAGGCTACTATGTCCTGCCCCTGTTCATGCTGTCACTACTCCTCAGACCTCACCCAAAGGGCCACTTCCCTTGGTCTATTCACCAAAATGATGTCAAGAGAGGTTCTGCCAAAATGGTGCCTTACCTGCAGCAAACTCCTCAATAGTCATCAGTGGGAAACGGATTAATGAGAGTGCTTTTCCTAGCACCTTCTGTTTGTTTGCAAAAGTCACTGGCAGCTGCTGTCTCTGACATTCGGCTTCTGCCCAGCGAACAACTGCTCCAAAGAGTCGACTTTCTCGAATACTAAGCGTGTCTCTTTCCAGAACAGCACATAACGTATCTAAAAAGCAAGACACAAAATCCAATTTAGACTAGATTTAAAATATCAGTGACTTAACATTATATCCTTATTTAAGAAGACTTCAAGTTTCTAATGAATAAAAAGCACATTAAACTTTAGGTATGCCATCAAAAATAAAATGTTATTAAAAAACAAAACTGATGTAATTTACTTGGGTGACCCAGAAGTCTTAGTGCAGTTTCAAGTTTTAAGAGCTTAAACAGCTTAACTGCGATAAGCTTTAATGGCTTAAGAATACACTATGGATTTTGGGACACTCTGCACATTCAAATTTGTGTATTGCGGCATGTCCTTTATCCAAAAGTAATTTAACTAGAGATATATCAAGAACATAGCTGAGAACTAGGAAATAAGTATAAAAGATATATCTGCCATTTCCTAACTGTGTGATAGTCTCAATTTCCCTGGCTTCAGTTCCATATTTTTAAATAAGATAGTTGGACTGGATGACTTTTAAGATCTTTTCCAGCTATAAATCTATAGCACCATTATCCTATGATTATGCAAAATATATGGCCTACAGTCCCCACATGAATCATTCTTTATTCATGACAAAAACCTTCAGGAACTCAGAGTCTCTCTCTTTTGGATACAATTGTAATCACCTTGGTTATCCGATTTCTAAACCTTGCTTCAAAATAAGGGATATATTTTAGAAATATGGTTGGAAAAATGTTTTAATACTTAAAAATAAACCTCACAGGATCAATAATTTCAAGTTTGAAAATAATTTCAAATTTTATAGATGAGGAAACTGAGGCCAAGCCACGTTAAGTGACTTGCCTAAGGCTACACTGACAGTAAGTAGCAAAGCAGGGATGTGAACCCATATTGTTGATCTCAAAATCCAGTGTCCTTTCAATTTATTACACTGCCTCTCAGTTATCTGGAAAACTTACATAGAATAGCTTATTCGTCAAAGATACCATATAAACAAGGCATTACTCCATAAAATCTGAGCAATATGGGTATGTCAAACTAAATTTAAATGGACACAAATGTGACATTAACTTTTTGGGCTAAAATCAACCAGAAAGTTTTTCAGAGATAAGTGACCCAGTAATAGAAAGCAAAAGAAAATTATTTGCTTTTAAATTGTCATTCATCAATCTAGCCGTGTGTGTGTGTGTGTGTGTGTATCAATAACTAAGGCCTTAATTCTGCTCCACTACACACACTTGAATACTAATGCAATGGCTTGAATACTATGAATTGTAAATTTTACTCTATAATATGGATGTATAAAAAATTTAAGAAATTATCACATCATTATACAGAAAACTAGTGAGACCTACAAATCCTGCCTTCATATACGCTAATGATTTTAAAATATTACAGACAAATCTTAACCCAACAAAAACTTTTAAAATTACACTTGCTACATTATTGATATGTTTTTGTCTCCTTTCTAAAGCGAAATCTGATAGAAGAATTTTAAAGTAAAAGTCAGAGCCAACATTACTAAATGGATAAATAACATACCATTTATTCAGATGCCAAACTTCAGACAACCTTAAAACTTTGAGACAGCCGAAGGCCCTCGAAGTAAAAGTCCCAAATTAGTTGTCACAAAGCCCATCCACTTAAATAAGGCTCTTAGTCAGAACTTTATTGACTGATTTTACTTGAACCTGTTAGCTTATGAATTTTTTTCCTAGACTAAACTAAATCAAACCAAAACAGATTACAGGTAGCAAAATAAAATGGGACATAGGGGAGCTACTGGAGGCATACGCTGACAACAGCCAGAAGGAACAGCTAAATACCCAGCAATTAAGACTGAAAACTTAAAAACAGAAGCATAACTCTGCTGCATATTATATATTACAGTACAAGAATAGATCCTAAGTTAAATCAACAATTTTTTTGGGGGGCTAGGCAATGGGGTTAAGTGACTTGCCCAGGGTCACACAGCTAGTAAGTGTTATGTGTCTGAGGCCAAATTTGAACTCAGGTCCTCCTGAATCCAGGGCCGGTGCTTTATCCACTTTGCCACCTAGCTGCCCCTAAATCAACAAATATTCACAGGGTAACTTACCATATATCATCAAGAAAAGGTTACATTATGTTCAGTACTCTCCGTGTAACCCTGCTTGGTAGAGCAAGGTTTCTGAATCATGCTCTCTCCCCAGCCAAGCTCCCTTACTAAAATTGAAGTTATATACTTAGATGCTGAACACCAAATTGCTACGTGCGCTGAATCTTCTCTCCACTCACCTTCCTAAGCCCTCATTCTAGTAAAGCCAGTCTGTCACCTTCATGTTTTTTGCTCCTAGCACTCTGACACTTATGCCCTCTATCCATTCAAGTCTTGAAGGATGACTTTCAAGATCTGGCTCAAACCTGACCACCCCCAACCTGAACTAACTAATTAAATCCTATCTCTAGAGTTAAATGTGAATTTCTGAACTGTCGGAACAATTATTTTCTGTACAACTTATTTGGCAAATAGTCACACGTATAAAGAACTGTGGTACCTCTTCTATTATCTCGAATTGTTACTTATCTTTGCTTATTTAACTCACCAAATAAAATGTGAGCTCCTTCAAAGGAGTTTTTATTTCCTTATTCTCCACATCCTTCACAGCCCCTAGCACTGGTACTAGCATATGGTAAATGCTTACTATTTGTTGATTTGACTAGAGGTTTAAGATGACAGTAAAATATCATTTTAGGCACATTTCCATAAAAATAATTGATTTGGTTTGGGCACCAAAAGGATAGAATTATGTGAACTTTCTAATTAATTGATCTGACATATATCACTCTCCCAATAATGCCCCCAAAATGAAGCATTACGGTACTCAGAAACAATGAAATTCAGTTCAAAATAAATAACTTACCTATGTCAATATCAGTAAAACCTTCTGCACTGATTGCATCCATTGTACTTTTGTCTATAGTGTCTAGACAAAGACTAGCAAGCTGAGGTTCATCAAATAATCGAGCCTAAGCATATAAAAAATACTTATTTTACTTACAGGCCAAAAATATTTTGATTTGACACTGCAATTAAATACATTACACCATATATGTCAAAAGCACCTACTTGCTTTTATTCCAATGTTTTAAGTATATATCAATATCTTAATTACATATCATTTAAAAACATGTTCATTACAGTATTTTAAGTACATATAGCACTATACAGTGCCTTTCCCTTAGAAGGTGCTTAATAAATGTTTGTTAAACAAAATTTCTCCTTTAAACATTTTTAAGTACTAATTTTTAAATAATCACTCACACTGAATGCTTACCATTCTTGAATTTTTTTTAAAAAGGTATTTGTTTTCTCTTTATTGTTTTTATTCTATCTTCTCACCTTTTTATTAGGGCCTATGTGCAAAGGGCCTATTATGTATGTTGTAATCATAAATCCAAAAAAGAATAAGCAAATTTAAACTTGGGTGTAAATAATAACAATTTCCTCTTCCTAGAAAACAAATTGTAAGAGCAGGGTTAATGTTTTATCTAAACTTTTCAGTCTCTCCAAGTCTCTCATACAGCGTGCTACACAGAATCAAAAACTAATAAATACTGAATTGATTTTTTAGCTTTGGTGATTAAATAAATGAAGTTGGTACAATATCTGCAAGAATCTACAAAGCAAACTTCATTAGACTAGGAATAAATCAGAGTAAGTTCAGTCTGAATCAAGAAAGCCTGTATTATAAAATATTCATAAAACTAAAGTTACATTACTTTCGAGCAGGCTAATTGCTTCTATCAGAAATTCAAGTGAACCAACCTCAGCTGGACCTTTCGTTTGCAGCTCTTACAATCATTACATTCAAATTCAAATACAACATTTTAGAAATGCTTGTGTCCAAGGGCATAGTCTTTATTGATTCCCCGCACATTCCTATGGCAGCTACTCTGAAATTTTTCCATTCTCATGTCATCACCTCCACCCCCCCACCTCATTTGTAGCAGATGACTCTGCTTCTTTCCTGAATCAAGAATATTCAATTGATCTACATCTACAATATACTCCTATCTCAGAGAAAGGTATCCTTACTCCTTTCCAAGGTTAACATTTCTATTTGTGGACTCACTCCTTCCCCTCTGCCTACAAACATCCTCAGATCCAAATTACCCTCCATAAAAGAAAACAAAAATACCTTTCTTGGGTCCTGCTCAATCTCTCCTCAATTAACCAAATCTTCTCTGCAAGATTAGTCTATACACAACTGCCTGTACTTCTCCACCACTCACTTCTCTCAAACTCTTGCAATATGACTTCCCTTCTGCTTCAACTAGAAAACTCTCCCAGAAGCCGCCAAATTCAATGGCCTGTTTCTCAGTCACGACCTTCCTGGACTCTATGCAGCATGTGACTCCAGTGACCAACCCCTTAATTCTTGAAACTATCCTCCCCCGTCTGGAAACACTAAATTCTCCTGGTCCTCCTATCTGATAGCTCATTTTCTCCTTCCTTCATTGGGTCTCCTCTTCCCTTTGTACCCAAAACATGGTGTTCTCAGAGTCTTTGGCTCCCTTTTCTTCTCTTTATACTTCCATCTTTGGCAATCTCATGTACAACCAGAGCTCAATCTTTTTGTCCAGTCAAGAAAAAAAGGAAATGATTTACAGAAAAGAAAAGGTTTGCCAGGTAGACCTGTAGCTAAAACAAGGCAAAATCCAGAAATCAGATAAGGCAGATGACAAAAGAAATATACAGCTCCCTGTGCTCAGTAGCCAGTCCACAATTCAAAGCTCTCTGAGGGAAAAGAATATATCTGGGGAAGAGAAACCAAAGATACACCCTCCTCCCCACAAATAATCCCAAAAGGTTTGTGTTTACCTACAGCACCAACCTAACAAGCAAAATACAATATTATTTCAGAGCCTCTCCTTTTTCAGGATGTTCAAAAATATGCTTTTCTTCCTCTTACATGCTAAGGCCTGAAATTATGAAATTAGACATAAAAAGCTTAAAATGTAAATACTTAGTTGAGGTATCAGACTAAAAGTTACTTGCTCTAAAGTGCAAACAGCTGAATCAACAGACAACTACAAGTGATTAACAGATACTTTGCTATTTTGATAAACAAAAGGGGTTATAGAGAGGAATGCCTCTAGAAATTAGAAGGGAATATCTCCTCCAGGGAAGAAAAGGATTCAAAAAGGAGAGAGTAGTCCCTCTTTTCACTGCAGAGGTGCAGAAGTGGGGAAATTATGGGTATGGAACACTACTGGCATTGGATTGGTTAGTTTTGCTGGACTGCTTTTTTCTTCTTTTCCTTTTTAAATCTGTTACAAGGGATGGTTTGCTTGGGTAAGAGAAGAGGAAAGAATGTATTCTGAAAAAAACATAAGAACACAATACACCAATAAAAAAATAAGATAACATTATGGAGGGGAAAAAAGGAAAAGGTGAGGATATTGAAAACAATTTTCATGATTTGTCCATTTTATAAAAATATAGTTCTATTGATCCTCAATCATATTTGTGCCAAAAAAGGGGTGTGCACATGGGTATTTATGTGACATTTGGTAAAAACTGATGCTGAGAACATTACCTACCTTCACAAATGTTTACTTACTTTTTTTTAAACCCTTCCAACTTGGTTTTAAAGGAGACAGATGCAAAAGGAAGGAAGTTTTATTTGACTTTATTTGGCCAATTTACCTATATTCTGAATCTGTATTCAAATAAAAGCCACTAGACCCTTACTAACTAAAGGATTTTTTCTTGTTCAATTATATTCATAGGAGGGGGTAGTTTGGAAACTTTTTTCAATCCAAGAAAAACACTGGCAGGGTAGAACCACAAATAGATTCCACTTGCCATTATAAAACAACCCTCACAAGAATTAATTAATGGTAGCATTACTTCTGAAGAAGACACCAATGAGGTGATTTTTAAAAATAAGTAGCAACATTAAATTGATCACGTAATGCTTAACTTTGACACTAGGAGTGGTTATTGATTTTATAGGTGCCAATACTTCCTCCACCGGTGCAGATAACAACCCTTAATTTCTTGTGGGTTGTCATATCCAAAAAAAACTCACTGGGAAGGGGTAGGGTGGGGAACAGAGGTAAGGAATCTTCTGACAATGAGCCTATCTGCATTTAGCTAGGCTAGTCTGGAGATGAAAATCTGTCACTTGGCCCATAGTCAAAACCTAATTTAGTAGAACCTACCATCAGGGTTTATGAATATCTAACTTAGCCTTCAAGAACTCAGGGTCATCTACATACAAGGAATAAGTGCAGGCCTTTAGGAAAGGCACATAATCCCACATACCTTAAATTGATTCATGCTGCAAAAAAACTATAGAAATTATTACAGTACAAACTGCATATACAATAAACTTGCTCACAAGTTACCAATAGTCACTGGATCTTCTTTTGAGAAACTAATTTAAGGTTTGTAGGTATAAAATACCTATATGGCTATGTCCAACCAAAACTGACAAATACAGAAGTGATATAAGCATGTCACCAACTCAAGAAAGGTACTTTTGTTACTTTCTTTGTCCAATTATACTTAATATTCCTCAAATATTTCACATTGGCAATGCTGGTATAGTGAAAAAAACTAGTGAACTAGGAGCTCCTTGTGGTTTCATGGCTAAATGGTTATGTCACCTTGGGCAAGTCATTTAACCTGGCCAGGCTAGTTTTTTTTAATCTGTAAAACTGAAGTGTCTGAATCTGATGATCTCTAAAGTCCCTTCTAGCTCTAATAGCCTATGATTTTATAACAGTTAGCCATGCTTTACAAACGTAGGATTTTAAACTTCATTATATAAAGGTTCAAGTTAATAAAGATCTTCCCAAATGACAAAACTAGCTTTTCTATTACTAAATTTTATATTATTAGGAATATTAAGTTAGCACAAATGCCACAAAGAATGTGGAAGAAAGCCATCCCATGATCCTTAAATACCAATCACTATAAGACTAAACTTGAAAGCTAATGGAAAACTGAGTTGGAATACAATAAGGTCTCCTACACTATTCCCTCCCCATTCCATCTCTGCAAAAGACTCACTCCCTTACTGAGAAAAAGCGGCCTAGTCACCTTAAGCACTCTCATTTTATTACTCTACACCTTAAAATACCCATTCCCTCCTACTTGACTTGGACAAAGAGGTGGCCCTTCTCACCAAGGCCAAACCTCACTATTTGTACCCTTAAATCTTATATGCACTATTATCTTGTCAGGCAGACTGCCCCCAGCAATCATACCTCTCTAATATTAAATTTCTTATTATCTACTATTTTCTCCTCCAATGCCCACGTCTTCCTACCATTAAAAAAACTGCCTGACTTGATTCTACCATTTCCTCAAGCTATCATTCTGTGCCTCTCTCACAGCCAAACCCCTAATGTGCCCCTTGCCTCTACTTGTTATCCTCTCACTCACTTCTCAACCATACGAAATCTCATTTTTGACATAATGACTCAACTACAATTACTCTCTCCAAAATACGTTTAGTCAGTTAAATCGAGTCTGACTCTTTGAAACCCTATCTAGGGTTTTCTTGGTAAAGATGGTTTGCCATTTCCTTCTTCAGCTCATTTTACAGAAGAAGAAACTGAGGCAAACAGGGTTAAGCGACTTACTCAAGGTCACCCAGCTAGTAAATGTCTAAGGCTGGAGTTGAACTCAGTATTTGCTAACTCCAGGCCAGGCACTCTATCTACTGCACCACCTCGCTGCTCTCTCTCCAAAATTACTAATGATTTATTAATTGCCAAATGCAATGGTCTTTTTTTCAGTGTTCATCCTTCAGAACATGACACTGTCAAATATTCCTCTCTTCTGGAAATTCTCCTCTTTTGTTTCTGTGGCATTGTTTTTTTCTTAATTCTCACTCTTCCTGTCCGACTACACTTTCTCCATCTAATTATAGGTAAAGGTCTGAGACCTTTTCTCTTCTTTCTCTAGTTCAGGGGTTCTTAACCTGGAGTCTGCAAACTTTAAAAAAAAAAAATAGCTATTTCAATATAATTAGCTTCCTCTGTAGTCCTACATATTTCACTTATGCTGTTAAAAACATTCTGAGAAGGCATCCATTGACTTTACCAACAGATTCATGACACACAAAAAGTTAAGCACCTCTGTTTTAGATGTCATTTTCCCCACAGATTCAATTATCTCTTGACTGCAAATTCTATATGTCCAACCCTAATCTTACATCTTGGGCTTTAGTCTTAGATAACAGCTTACTGGATGTTTCTAACTGGATATCCCTTAGGCACCTCAAATTCAGTACGTCTAAAAAAGAACTTTTTAAATCTTTCCTCTAAAATCTACCCTCTCTCTTCTGAACTTCTCTCATTCTGCCATCCTTCCAGTCACCTAAGCTTGTAAACTCAAAGTCAACTTCAACTCCTCAATCTCCCTTACCTGCCCCATCCAATCAGTAGCTGTCCTGTCATTTCTACCTCTACTACATCTTGCATTTGTCTTCTCTGTCTATTCACACAGCTACCACCCTAGTTCAGGCCCTTATCACTTCAGCTGAAATACTATAATAGTCTCCTAACTGGTCTTCCTGCTTCAAGCCCTTCTCCTCTTCAACCCATCCTCCACACAGCTGCCCAATTGATATTTCTAAAGCATAGGCCTGACCATGTCAATCCCCTGCTCAAAAAGCTTCAATGGCTCCCTATTGGCTCTCAGATAAAATAAAAACTTTTCCATTTCGTATTTAAATACAATCACAGTCTGGTTCTAATCTACCTTTCCAGATTTATTATGTTTTCCCTTCAAATATTCCATGCTCTAATCAAACTGACTTTCTGCTGTTTACTTCAACACTTCCATGGATCTACAATCTCACCAAGGATAAGTACCAATCTCACCAATATAAGTCCTCCCTACAAAGTGAAAATCTCAACCTATCCATGTCTTCATATCCCATGCAATTTTGCTCACGTTATTCCGTGAATTCTTAATAGGGTGTCCATACAATGTGCTAGAGGTCAGCATTTTTCTTTTCATAGGTCTCTTGACATTACACTGAGACCTATGGCCTTGGGTGCCCCATCATGGTGTGGAGGTGACTCTGTGGTCCAGAAGGCTATGTAGCAGAGCACAAGATCTGGCTGGGCCTAACATCGATGGAAAGGCAAAGTAAAATCCTAGTAACAGACCAGGTCTGTTTTCTAAGGACCAGCCTCATTAAGTATGAAGAGCCTTGTCCCCAGCAGAATGAGAATGAATACTAAGCGATGAATCCTTTGGACATCACAATAAGTCAGAAAAATAATTTTGTATTCAAGGTATTATTAACATGTGATTAATTGAAAAACCCTGAACTAGGGTGTGAAGAGATAATGTCCTAGTCCCAGAAATGTCACTTGAACAAATCACTCACCAAGTTCCACTCTGATGCTTCAACACGGTGGATTTCCTTGGGTATATGAATATCATGCCAGCAGAACATAAGCTCTGGAAGGTCCTATTTAAGCTGGAAAGCTTTGGATGGTGTATATGGATCTGGTGTACTGGTGGTGTGCTTGTCATCAAAGGTATTTTTTTAGTCACAGCATATCACAAAAGACATTCCATTGAATGGCAGAACGTCACATCATTTTCAAAATACTAAATTAGCATGCTAAAACAACCTTAATAAATAAAAATTACCTACCTGAGTGAGAAGCATAAAGGCATTATCTGCCCTAAGATGTTTGGTGAGAAAATCCACACAATGTGCTTCTAAAGCTGGAACTGCATATTTCTTAGCAGTATAAAGAGTTGTCATGACTGTTTCTGGACCAATCTGAACTTCATCTGAATAAAGAAATCTGAAAAACAATTCCAAAAATGGAGAAATTGTCATCAACAGACCCGTTAAAATGACAGGAGTAAATATTTACTCACACACTTCATGCTGGACGAGCTGACAATGCCATAAAGAATCAAAAGCTTAATATGATAATGTAGGTAGGCCTGCCATCTTCAAGTAGTTCCACATTAATGAATTTCAAGATACTTTAATTTTTCCTTTTAAGTGTCCAAACTTTAAAATGTTTAACCATATTTTATTCAAATCTATCTAAAATGTATTATTCCCTTCTCCATTTTAGTTATCAGAATACACTATTATTTAAACTTTCATGGATGACTAGGGTTATCACTATGAACACTGTAGTACTATGAAGTCCCTAGGAGCTATGAAGATGAATAGGACTGTATTCCATATATAATGTTTACATATGGATATATAATATATACATATAATATGATAATGTTTGCATATATAACAGAAGTTATGTTGTCAGCATATTCAATTCAGTCAGCAATTCAATTCTATAAACATTTATTAATAGGCACCTATGTGCCAGTGATAGAATCCTAATAAAGCTACCCCCAGCCCCAGTATTCTAACTTCCTTATGGTCTACAATGAACAGCAAGCATGTCCTGATTTAACTACATGATCTGGCTTTAACCACACCAGAGGCCCCCAGATTCAATATAGCCACTGCCCCCAGATCCAATTCACATATTTGAACAGGTATGTCCTTGCACACAATCACAATCAATCATCCATTTTAGCCCAAGACAGAACCACAGTACCTACCTATCTAACTTGACCGGACAAAATCACAATAGCTAGTCAATCAGAAAGCAGCACAACGAGGATGTCTGACCACTGAACCACAGAAGGAACCACTTCCCCATTATCTAATCCCTTAACAAACCCCTCTTGCCTTTTTAATATTCATAATTTCTGTTATGTAATCAGCATTATTACACTATAAAATTCCCTGTCTTGTATACTAAGTTGCTAATTCCTCTTGGAACCTAGCCCGCTTCTGAGGGGCCTCAATCCTCAATAAATGCCTATACTTAGATTAGAGGTGGTCTGACTGAATTCTTTGAGACCATGCTGCCACAACACATCATAAAGCCGAAACACTAGGCATTATGGATAGAAAGAATCAAAATGGCACAGTCCTTACCCTCTAGGAGCTTACAGTCTATTAGAATTGTACACAGTTAAGAATATGTACATGTATATGGTATATAATACAAGGCAGAAGGTGATAGTGGACAAAGCAAAGATCCAAACAACCCAATTAACATCTGAGGGGACAGACAATACTTGCAGTTGAGGGTTTAGGATGTAAGAGGGAGGTCAGTTCTTGAGTGGAGCCGTAAGAGAAGAATTCTGACATGCAGAAATGAGGAAGGAATACATTCCGGGTACTGGCCTGGACAAATGCAAATAAACTGGAGACAACAATATGGACTCTAGTGAACAGCTGGCAGTCTGGTCAGGCTGAGTCATAAGAGTGTATAAAGAAGAACAGAGTGAAAGAAATAAGAATTGAAAAGGTAGTTTGTTTTTTATAGGGGGAGGGAGAAGTGGAGAGGGATGACAGAGCTAGTGATTGTATTGCCCAAAAAAGTGTGAAATGAAACAAAAGCAGGTCACTGAAGTATTTTTAAAAATGCACAAAAAGGAATACAGAGAAGTCCTGAGGAAATAAGACAAGCAGGGCAGTTTTTAAAGTAACATGCAGTTTATGATATACTCATTTTTAAAAAGAAAGTTGTACATAATAGAAATTTATGGTTTCACATGCAATCCTCTTTTTACATTCTACTTTGCATATGGAAATGTTCTTTTTTGGCATTATCTAAAATCAGAATTTTTAAAATGGGAAAAATGTAATTTGGAGCTAAATTGTAGCAGGCTTTAAATGTCAAGTTAAGGAGTTTTTATTTTATCCTCCAAGCAATGGAGAGCTGGATGTTAAAGTTTTCTAAGTGTGAAGAGGTTTACAACCTACAATTCCCAGAAAAACCTTAAAACTTTTAGATTCCTTGTAGACTCACTTAGCTCTCTTTGACAAAAAGAACCTGGCTTCAGTTTTGTTGACCGGTCCCAGGAAACCCTTAAAGTTTTAGAAACTGCCTTATTTCCCTTTGAAAGCAAACTTCCCCTTCCAGCTCCCTTCATTATCTATTCTCATTGTCTGTTCAAATCTCTCAGACATTCCAAACAGAAATTCTCACCTGGACCCTTTTCCAAAGGACCCACCTCCCCCATCAACTAGCTTTCCCATTGTTTTGCCTTCCTGGTCATTCCCACCCTTAATCCTTGCTAGGCGCCAGTGTTCCTTTCCCCCCAGCTTGCTGGCCACCCCCATCCAGATCTCCCTAGACCTGTCCTCCTCTCACCCCAAACTGCTTGGCCACTCCTTGGACCCCTCCTCCCGTCACTCCAAACTGGACGGCCCCTCCCTCAGTCTGTACTTAAGGCTCACCTTTCCCCCATTCTGATGCTGAGCTGTTCTCAAGCTTAGAAGCTGAGACCCCTCATGCCCGCCTATCCTAAGGGCGTCACCTGGCCTATCCACCCCAGCCCCCACTCAGACTCTGAGCTTTCTAGACTGCCTCACACTGCTCGTCCTTGCAAGCGTCACCTGACCACCTTGAATCCTATTTAGATCACTGATGTTTGGGTTCCTTTGGAGTCTGGCCTATATACTTATCTTTAATAAACTTTTTCTCTGTCTGGAAGAAGATCTGAGTTGAATTCATTCAGGCAGATCCGCGCCGTGATTTGGGCTTTTCCCCATGATCTTGGGGTGCCTCTGTGCATCTAAGAGCACCTCAACCGCCCCTTCAAGTGGAGGAATGATCTGGCATGATGCAGTACAAGTTGCACTGGATCCAGAGCCACAAAAGACCTTTGTTCAAGTGCTTCATCTAATATTTACTATGTGACCACAGACAAATCTCTTAAATTCCCTGAGCCTTCTCCTCTGTAAATAAAGGTAACATATTACTTTAATAGCACATACAACTGACAGAGTTAATTGTGGGGATCAAATGAAACCAGGGTTTGAATTCTGCACTTAATAGCTACATGATCTTAGCTGTAAAATGGAGACATTTTTTCATTTCTATTATTGTATCCTAATGATGCGGTGATGGGACCTGGACCCCTAAAAGGAAAAGACCATGTCTTTGAAAGCAACCCAGTCCCTGAATTTTCCCATACATTCCAGCAACCCAGATCACTGGTGCCTCTGCCCAAGGCATCTGGTCCACTCCAGCCCACTTAGATCACTTAATGAGCTTACTTGACAGTCCTTCCACAGTCACTCCTGGCCCACCCCAGGCAACTACTTACCACTCCTGAATCCCAATCCACATTCTTTCACTGTCCTTTCTGTATAGAAACATCTGTCTCACCTCCATTAAGTAGCACATTCACTAGGCATCTAGCCCCTCTAGAGGCCTTACCAAAAACCTTGCCACCTTGACTGAAAGAAGGCTTGAGTGTATGAATTCATTCTATGCAGATGCCACCTTGTATCCTGACATTTCAGAGTTCCCAGCAACCCCAAATCACATCACTAACAGTGCCTTCTTGCACATAATTGATGCTTAATAAATGCTTGCTCAAATGAAAATGTGAGTCAGAAAGGGTATGTTTAATGGAGCAAGGTGGTAGAGGAAAAGGAAGGGTTACAGGGGTTATTTACCTTGAAAGAAAAAAGACCATCTTCTGAAACTGGAAATGAGAGAATGGGTGAGAACATACAAAGACCCAAAGGCATGGAAGAGGCATAGAATTGAGAAGCTCATGTCAGATGACCTCTCCTGTCTCCTATTCCTGGAAGGCACTTACTTTTTCACCTCTGCCTTTTAAAACACTTAGCTTCTCTCCAGTTCGGCTAAGGGCCCAAATGCTCAAAACTTTTTCTAATGCCCTCCGTCAGTGCTCCGCTCTATCCTTTCAAAATTATCTTATATTTAAGTACCTATATATATCTGGTATGTAAGTTCCTTTAAGACAAGTACTATTTCCTTTTTGTCTTAGTTATCAAATAGTAGAAAGAGCACTGTCAGGAACTAGAAGACCTAGGTTCAGAGCCTACTTCTGAGGCTCACCACCTATGTGGCCTGGAGCAAGTCACTTAATCTCCCTAGCCTCAGGTTTCCTCATCTGTAAAATAGAGTTGGGCTCAATGGCCTTTTAAGTCCTTTCTAGTTTTAAATCTATGATCCTATGGCTTCCCAATGCAAAGCATAGTAACTGTGCCTAACACACTGAAGGCATTTACTCCATGTAGAACTGAATAGAACTTATACCTCATAAGGAGCTCATATGAGCTCTTCCAGGGTTATTGAGAGGATCAATGAGATAAAAACTGTGAAGCACTGTGTGCCAGACACACAGTAGGCACTATATAAATATTAGCTATTAATGTTATTGTTATACACCTTGAAGGGCTATTGTTAGCTATAATGTCATCCTAGATTTTTATGTGTCATGGACCCCTTTAGTAGTCTGGTAAAGCTGAAGGACCCCTTCTCAGAATGTTTTTAAATGCATAAAATAAAATATATAGGATTACCAAGAAAATTAGTCATACTGAAATATAGCTATCAAAAAAAATTTTTTTTAATTCACCCGGCGGGGTAAGGCCCAAGCTGAGACCTTTGCCCCATACCCCAAAAAGAATTTGGGTCCCATTTGTCTACAGGCCCTAGAAAACCCCACCTTGGATTCTGCTTTAACTCCCCTAGATCAAGGAAATCTCTAGCGTTTGCCTGAGGCTATAATCCACTCAACCAGTCTTTCCTTGTGGCTACCTCAATCTCCCAATTCTGTTACCTCTGACCCAGTGTAACTTTCATTGTCTCTTACCTCCCAATCGTGCCACACGCCCAGCTACTTCCCTCTTGAGCCTATCTAGACCCCATTCTACCTCCCAGTCACTCCCATCAAGATCCTCCCTAGACCCCTCCTCATAGTCACCCCAAACTACTTGGCCACTCCT